CCCTACCATCTTCCCACAGCATTTTCAGTCCTTTACAGCCAGGCCTTCCTAAGCCAGAATGCAGAATTTTTCCCCAGAAACAAAATCCTGCTCTGTTTTCCATGTTACTGAATCCAGTGATTATTTCCTCTTTGTGTATGGCTAATGAAAGTACAGTAGCCTTTTGCATCTCTACTGGATGAACTGTCAGTTCATTTTAAATATGTGCTATTTTTATGATACACTCTTTCATTACAGTTTCCTTGCATACTCCTTTCCTAAGGTTGTACCTTGTTTACCTTCTGCTGTGACCTATGGTGTCACATGCACTACATGCTTAACTGTGTACTGTTGGAATATCTCAAAAGTAGCTTTTCTGATTCTGTTCTCTCTTCTGTTCTGTGAAAGAATGATCCCGTTCCCTCCCTTTCCATACACGTTTCTTCATGCTGCTTATTGGTTTTGTTGCACAAGCCTGCTGTCACTAGCAATGGCATTTCTCCCACCTGATGGAACTTAAGGCTGATCAGTACATTCCTAATATAGTCTCACCAGCTGTCACTGTAAAATAATATATTATTTTTATAAAATTGGTCTTTAGCATGAATGTGTATACCTGCCAACATACTGATCAAATAAATTAGTTAAACCTATATATTTATAAGCATGTGTATATTTTAACAGAATCACATTAAATTCCTAACTCACGTGCCCCAAAGTTAAGGTATTCCTGCATTAGCTGTATCCACAACTTGCTCTTCTCTATGTGCTCAAGTCTTCAGTTCTCTGTTTCAAGCAGTGTCTAGAAATGAAAGAACAAAATAACATTTTTTTTTCATGTGACAACATGATTCCATTTCTACTGGTTTAAGAAGAATCACCAAGTGACATCTGAATGCACATTGTGAGTTCAGCTAGCAGTGCAGTCCTATCTTCCTGCAACTCAACTCAGTGCCCATCAGCTCATTTTATTTTTGCATGGTTGTTTCTGCTGCTAGATCTAAAAAAAAAAAAATGTTTTCTGTACTTCAGCAGCCCCCCAGCCCTTTGCAACCAACGTGATGTGGGGACAGTGCATGCAGAAGATAACACAGATAAAGGAGTTTCTTTTAGAAGATAAGCCATGGGAAGTGCTCTTGAGTATCAGGTTGCCTCATAGGAAGACCAGGAGAACTTCCTGCAGGAGTGATAAGGAGAGAGGACTGCTACTTTCTGTATAACAGTCCCATTCTCTTCTCATCAAACTTCTCAGGAGTGGAAGGTTTAATCATGATAAAACATGATATTCAGGTTTGGCGCAATCGTAAAATCGTTAAGATTAGAAAAGACCTTTAAGATCATCTAGTCCAAATGTCATCCCATCTCCACCATGCCCACTAAACCATGCCCCTCAGTGCCACATCTTTTTTAGAAGACCTCCAGGGATGGTGACTCCACCACCTTCCTGGCAGTCTGTTCCAGTACTCTTTCTGAGAAGAAATTTTTCCTGATTTCCAACCTGAACCTCCTCTGGCACTACTTAAGGCAGTTACCTCTTGTCTTGTCACTGGTTATCTAGGAGAAGAGGCTGATCTGCACTTCTCCACAACCTCCTTTCAGGGAGCTATAGAGAGCAATTAGTGTCTCCCCTGTGCCTCCCATTCTTCAAACTAAAAAATTATAGTTCCCTCAGCCTCTCCTTATAAGACTTGTGCTCCAGATCACCAGCTTTGTTTCCCTTCTCTGGACACACTCCAGGGCCTCAATGTCTTTCTTGCAGTGAGGGGCTCAAAACTGCACACAGTGCTCAAGGTGTGACCTCACCACTGCTGCGTGCAGAGAGGTGATCACCATATCTTCATATGCACCCTTCCCACTGGAACATCTCTGACCACACTGTGTGTTTGCTTTACCCTTTGTGTTTCCCTCACAGCCCTGAGCAGCAGCTTCTGAGGGCTTCTGCCAGCTGTTGGTACCACTAGTAACACTGAAACCAATGCAGGCTGTGCATGCTGGTAAAGAGAAGTCACTGTGATGTTAGTGCTCGTTCTTGTTACTTGGTTCATTACACAAGTAGCAGTGGTTTTATTTGTTGTGTAAGGCAAGATTTTGTGAGCTCATTCAAAAATGAACTTTCCTGAGACTATTTTTAGAGGTGATTACCAAGATTTAGATTAGACTAGATTAAGTAAGGGCTTTTGCAGAGATGATACATCTGCTCAGCTATACCTTTACTTAAAGACATGCAGCCTGACTGATAGAAAGGGGATTACGAAATGTGTGAGTTGAGCGTATCCCACAAAACGGAGGGGGAAACTGTGGCTCTTCATTTGCATGTCTGAAGACTGCCTCGTGTTTGTTCCTCCTGGAGTGGGATTCACCCTGTAACATGAATTGGTTTGTAATGCTGAGAAGCAAAGGTGGCATTTTTGTGCTTTGCATGTTCAGCTGCTGGAACGTGTAGTGTCAGTCAGGCTTTCTTTTGTTACCAGATTCTGCTTTAGGCGCTGTGCTCCTCTGCAGATCATTGGGAATTGCATGCTGCTGCATCCCTCCTCAACAGAACACCTTTCTGCACCTGGCTCGTTACTTGCCACTGCAAAGTCAGCATCTCCCCAGGCCAGGTGCTGGGTTTTGTCCTAACAGGGGTTGAACAAAATTCATTTAAATTCCTGACTTTTTTTTCCCCAATATAAATTTGCACATGGCTAAGCTGTTACAGCTCTATCTCTCAAAGGTCAGCCTGAATTATTTTCTGCAGATAATGTTAAAGCTTATGCGCCTGATGGATTTCTGTGGCACATAACCACCACTTCTCATGGGGCTGATGACCCAAATAATTACCTCATCTCAGTCACTGCTGATCTCATCAACTAAACCAATTACAATGTAAGCTCAAGCCACTTACAAAAGTTTCTCAGATTGCTTTATATGGACTGGAAGATTTTATGCATTGTACACAAATTAGTACAAAGCCGATAGGGATGTTCAGCACTAAATGTTACTCTCTTTTACCAGGATACAGATGAGGAGCTTCATTATTAACCTAAGTTCCATGGAGTGGCAGAGTAATGGAGATCTGCTTTTCCCTCAAATAACACTAGGGGATTTCTTTTGCAGTACTTGCTCTGATTATTTGGCATTATGTAATTAAAAGGAGATACATTTTCATGTTATGTATAACACAAAATATTAATTTTATGAATTATTTTTTATTTTGGTAAATGAATGGAAGACAGTTTAAAACTTCTTGTTACTCTATATGTTGTTTCTCTTCCATTTCTATTACTTGAAATATTGTTTGTGCAATATGCTTTTAACTTAGGCATAATTTTCATAGTTCTCTCTGCTTATGATTATGGATTGTAATGAATCATTATCATTTAATTCAATTACATGCTGGTTTAATCTGTTAAGCCAACCTTGCAGAATTGTTGCTAATTGTCACTAATACTATACAGACTGCTCACAAAACAAACTGGACAGCTCTTTATCCCGATGTTTATAAAACAAAGTGGGTAACGTCAGTTCAGCCTTCTACTAGAAACACTTTTGTTGTTTTTTTTTTCTGGGATAATAAGCAAAAAGCTTATTTTTTATCTGTTTTTGATCTGTTTTTATTTTCAGCATCATGGTAGAAAATAAGTTGCCTGAAGAAATTTTTTTTAAAGCTAAACTAATTGTGTGCTGTATGTGATTTGCTCTGCTGTTCAGCTTGAGTTCCTTATTGATCCTCTGGTATTTTTCTGATCTCTATTATCCACAATGATCTAGTTTACAAATAGCATGACATCTATATTTTTGTTGTAAAATCTGATCTATAAAATTGTCTCCTGAGATAACCATTGTCTCACTTAATCAGATTTGTTATGTCATTAGCCAGCAGAGCTGAGCAAGTCAGAGTCTGTTTTTGTAGTGGCAGCATTATTCAAGTCTTAAATGGAATCAAAGGCACATGAAAACATTTCAGTTTAAAATGAATGACAATTAATCTCCAGCTATTTTATTATATTACAAACATGCACATTTCAAAATAATGCCTCTGTGGGAATTTTTAATAAATACCATTATTCCAGTTACAGAAGAATGGTGTAAATCTCTTGGAGTTCTTAAGCACTGCTTGAGGAAGGTGCAGCAACGCGTGGTTAACTTCAGGTAGTCCCACGCCTGAAATTGTCCATTTGATAATCAGCCAAGTATATTTTATATATAATACATGGAAAATTGGGACTGTCTGCTTTGCCAGATAATCTAAATAAAATACAGCTAATTACGCCTTGTCACTTTAAAACAAAGGAGGTTCTTTCAAAAATGTTAGTTACATAAACATAAAAAATGTCATACTGTCCAGAAAAACTGTGGGGCGGCTCTGTGAAATGCTAAATATTTCCTCAACACCTGGCAGTATCGCAGCTTCTAGTTGAACAAAAAAACACAAAACCTGTTGCTGAGATCAGTTTCAACATCTCTCCTGTTATGTGACACAATCTGCAGTAGATTTTAATGTAGAAACAATGGGTGACATGCTTTCTTGTCTGTCACATGAAAACTGTTTTGACAAATGAAAGGGATCTCTTGCGCAACTCAGGGAAGCCGACAGGCCAGGACTCCTATGGTGACGAAATCGCTTTTCTTATAGTCCAGAAGCATCATTGCCATTTTACGTTGATGGTTTCCTCAGCTATCCTTCTGTGCAGAGGACAAAGCACGTTTTTTGTTTGTTGTGTCTTGTCGGTCTTGGTAGATGACTGGCAGAACCTCGGCTGCCAAGCAGGAGAGGATGGGTGTCAGCTAACAAACCAGCCTTTCAGAATCAGGAATGCTGTGCTTGCATGGTGCGATACACCAAGAGCTATTTCTCCTGGTCACTAATTGTTATGGCATGCATTTGAGAACAGTTTGAGCCATTACTAAATCATTTCAAAAAAGTGGTGGTTGGGGATATGTGAAAGGGAGGGGAGGGAAAACACAGATGGAGAAAGGTTGAAGTTTTAAAGGGAGGAATATGTCTGGGAATTTATCTTTTTGACAAAAAAAAAAAAAAAAAGCAAATTCAATTTTTAAAAAAAGTTGTTATTTTCTGACCATTTCTGACCATGCTGACCATTTCACAAGTGCCCTAAAATTATTTGTACGAGAAGCAGAATAACTGATGCCTTAGTAGAATTGTAATGAGTGTATGGGAACTGTTGAGTCACGGCCTGAACCCCTGATTGATCACCTGAGGCGAGCACCGAGTCAGCCACGGGAGCACAGGTGAAGGCAATTCAGCTGTGTGCCTGGAAGGGATGGAGCCTCTCCTAGAGGCCTAGAGGCTCTCCTGGGGGGCTGCACCTCTCCTAGACCCCATTTAAGGGCTGGCTGCCACTGGGGAAGGATCTCTTCTGGAGTTTCCTCCTTTTGGAGTACTTTACTGTGAGCCAAGGACATAAGTGAGCATTTCATTGATTGACTCTTTCTGCCGTGATAATCCATGATAATCTTTCTAGCTATAAACCTGTAAAATGCTATCCTAACCATGCTACTCTTCTAACTGTACATTTGTTAATTGTACAAATGAGATAAAATGTTGTCTTGTGTGAGGATAATCAGATTGTTCAGATTCAGAATTTCCTAGGTAAAATTATATATAATGCTTTCTTCTTCTGAGAAACATAAGATGCACAGCTGTATTATACTATATCAATTGCTGTACCAATTGCTTCAAGAAACACTTTACTGAAAGGAATGTTGTTTTTTTTTTTATAATTATTAATTGAGATTTTAGAAGGATCTCAAAACATATAATAACTGTGCATAGTTGCTACAAGAAATTAAAAATTCCTGACTGCTAACTCATATTGTGGTGGGTTGGGTGTTTGCTGGTCAACCTTTATATAGTAACTTTCAGCAAGCAGAGGACAGGCAGTACCAGAGATGAATGGAAAGAGGAGAAAAAGGCGGGGAAAAAACAGCCTTAAACTACAAATTATTATGATGTCATTGATCCAGGTTTGGTCCAGACAAATCCAAGGGTTTATTATAATGTTTATTCTGAAGCATCCATAAATGTGGCACCAAGTACCGCTGCCTTTCCCTCTGCTGCTCTGTGATGCTGTGAAGCACCAACAATGGGTACTGTGGGAGGGCCTGCTGGTGGCTCTGAGGTCCTGGGCGCTGATGAGAAGCACGTCACTCTGATTCCAGTTTAAAAACACAGAATAGTGATTTATTCAGAGAAAATTTCTGCTAAAATCAGAATGCTGGTGTGTAACATAGGGAAGTACACCCTATAGACTTCAATGCCAAAGCTTTCTTGCAAAAAAGAAGAGCTAATGTTTGTTGTTTTTTATCTTTTTGTTTTAAAATGTTTTTCTTTTCACTTCTAAAGAGTGTATGACATGGTATCTCAGAATCACAGACTTGCTGAATGTGTATCTCCTGTGGAAATCTTCTGTGAGAGCATGTCTTAGTACTGAGTGAAACATTCTTCCATTAGAGAAGATAACTAGTCCAAATAATTTGTACGACTTGTTAAATACCACTCTCCTCAAGAATTGCCAATATTTTCCAGAAGATTAGGATTCCACTTCTTTACTGAATTGCAGAACTTTATGGGTTGGAAGTCACCTCAAGAGATTGAATCCAGCTCCTTATTGTCAAGAATTTTAGTTCTCCAAATTGTTTTATGCTGAGTTTTCTGATATTGTAGTAATTGACATTTTTTCTGAATGGCTGGCTGATGTTTTAAATCTGCAGAGCTTTTGGTGTGGTAAAGACCTACATCCCAAACGTTACGTGAAAGATTGTTTTTTTTCAAAGAACTAAAATAAGTTTGAAATCCTTGCCGTGTGGGCATTGATACTTTTTTTTTTTTTTTTTTTTTTTAAGCTAAGACTGATTATATTTTAGTAAAATTTGAGTGCATCTGGACAATCCATCAGAAGAATACGTATTTTCTTAATGACCATTATCTGAGGTCATAACTATGTGTATATGTATCTATATATCTTTAAACAGAATCCTGTGTACAGTTTCAATAAAATGCTTTGAATTATTAAAGGTTCTTCATGGGGAAAATGAGATGCTCTTTATAAAGGAGTTTTGGGTTTTGTTTTATACTGAGGACGGTGGTGAGCTGAGAATAAAATAAATCAGAGTAATTATCTAATAATGTAATTGAAAAATATTGTAGATAACCTGTGAGCATCTTAAAGAGTTGCCCTTGCCTCCACACTTTAATAAAGCTGGTTGCTGCCTAAACCAAAGGAGTTATCCAGAATGAGAGTGAGCCAGGACACTGAAATATTTATACCTGGTTATGATGACAGTATATCAGAAGCCACAGCTGTGGTCATTTGGTGAATGGCTCTGCCTCATATGTGTCTGTGGGGGGGGTACAGTGTTTTTTTCCCCTCTTATTTCTTTTCATAACTAGGCTTTATTTCCTGCTGTTATTTGTGGTGGTGAGCAGGCAGTGCATCTGGGCGTGCAGGGACACCAAGGAGGCTGAGGTGTGTCTCTCACCATATACTTCTGGTAGCTGATGCTGATCTCAGGGCAGTGGTGCTGGCCATATGGGGCAGCTGCAGGAAGCTTTGGTGTGTCCACAAGTGACTTCACTTGGCACACATCTGCTCTGCACATGTTGACACAGGACTGCTGAGACACCCTGACAGCTAGAGATAATGGAATTAATTGTCGTGGTCCAGCAAGTAGTCAGAGTTAAGCATTGTAGTTCCATGTAATTAATGACAAGTGTATTTTGATGCATTTTAGAGAAGCTCCCAGTTTGTTGCTGCTGAATGATAGGCTGTCTCAATGCCAAGCCAAGTTGTGAGGTTCACTTCCTGGTTTGGCTTCCTCCTGGAAACTGTACAGCTTCCAGCTGTCGTAAAGCACATTAGACAGGAACTCTGACAGTGATTATATTTATGCTTATCAGAAATGCTAGGTTCTAATGGCAAAGATCAAGCATTAAAAGATAGCAACAGGCAGCAAGAGCACAGCTCTTCCCCATTGCTGTCCCTTCAGAGAACAAGCCCGTTGTTCACAGAATTCATATTCGCATTAGGTACAATTCATCCTATCTGCCTGGTTCCTTTTATTGTACAATAAAATTTGATTTATTCTCATTTGAATACAGAGTATATAGCTGTGTAAGTTTAAGATGGTTATAAACAGTTACTTCCCAAGTAGCACAATATAAAGCCTACTGCCTGAGGTATTTCTGAGGAATGAGAAGCATTACTCGCCAAAGGGCAGAGAGAGAGAAAGCTGTGTTTTGGATCTGAACATTGTGCCTGGAGCTAATCACTGATTATGCTGATACCTGCTTAGTTTTTTACTCTTTAAAAAAAAAAAAAGCCAACAAATGAAGAGCATGCAAATGTGCTTCCTCAGTGGACTTATCCTGAGTCTGGAAAGCCTAACTCTTTGTATTTTGCTTACAGAATGGTCTCATCGTTGCCTGTTACCAAGGATATGTGGATATTGTCATAGCCTTATCACAGTGTCCTCATCTTGATGTGAACTGGCAAGACAATGAAGGGAACACGGCCCTGATCACAGCTGCACAGGCAGGTAAGGGTCTTCTCTGCCTCCTGTGTGGGGTCTTAGGAGGGATCCATGCTGTGATTGCTATTTGTAGGATTTTTTTTCAAGGCCTTATAAGAAAACAGTCTGCATAAGATTATTCTGGCCAAGCTCCCAAATAAGCTTGTCATTATTTTTTTTAACTAATTAATCTAAAGCAATGTTTATCCTGTAGACTGTGAATAAGCTATACATAAGCATATAAAATGTTTCTAGTGAGTAACCAAACTTTGTCCTGTGTTGCATGTAAAAGTGAGCTCTGATAGAGAACTCTGAAAGAAGGAATTGCAACCACAGTTATGTTCATAGCAAAGTTGTAAGTATGGCAGCTTTTTAACATGGAGAAGTCTCCAAAGCTCTCATCTTTTATTTATCTGTGCTAACACAAATTTGGACAGTAGAAGGTTTAACATTAACACCAACTTCTTCCTGATTGTTATAACTCACACTAATGAGCTCAGAATTAATCTGGAGGGCTGACATTGACTTGACTCTGTCTGCCAGCACTTGTTATTGATCCCCAGTGCCTCTGCAAATGACTGCAGTCAGCAGAAGCATACACAAACCCCTAACAACTGGGGAGTTTTCCCCCGCCTATGATAATCCTGAGCTCTGACACTGACACCAGTTGTTTAATTCATCATCATGAGACACAGCTGTAGCATTAATAAGGATTACCATGTGGTTAACACTGCAACCAGAGTAGCTACAGTGTGAAAGATGCTGCTTAATTACTGCTGAACTTTAAGTAGCAACACTAAGCGGTGTGTTACAAAGAAGTGAAAGAAAAGCCTGTGCTATCTCACCTTTAGTGGTGGGTTGATTCAGTTTTACTGGATATCATTTCTACAAAACAAATTATTCCAGAAGCTCTCTGACATTTATGCAAAAACAAACAAACCAACAATATTTCCTACGGAAGTCTAGTTATTTCAGCTAACTGCAGGGTGGTATCCAGGTGGTTTCAGAGAGTGCTTCTGTTCTTGTTATGGTCCCATAAACATCTGTATGTGCTTAAGAAGTGTTATGGCTGCCTAGACATATTGTTTCAGTGTAGTCAGCATCTAAAATTAAATAGAATTATTTTGCAGACCAGCTAGGGTCTCAGATGAGCATTGAATTCAGTTCCTTTTACCCCTCTGATTTTGATAATTTTAGATTCACATCTTTCAAAGAACCCATTCTAAACTGAAGCCTTTCTGCATGGGCTGACCTGAAGAAAATAGTCTGAGGAGATCAGTGGGAAGCAATAGGCAATAAGAAATAATTCATATAGAAAAAACAACCACAGACAAAGCATATTTTAATGTCAAATGTACATTTCAGGTTTGAAAATGGGTCTGTTTTCTTGGTCTCTCAGCATTTCTCTTGAGAAGGATGCTATGTCTGTAAGGCTTTTCCGTTCCAGAACTGAAAATTGGTAGTGGCCAGCAAGGGATGAAGCCCAGAAATAGGCAGTGGTGCTGCTAAAGGAGAAATAGAGTCATTAATTGGCAGAACAGGGGAAGTGCAGGAAAAAAAAGTAAGATCGATGCAAATGAGAGAATGAAATAACATGCAGCAAAAAGGAAGGAAGGAAAACGGTTACGAAGAAGGAAAGAGGGTGAAAGTCTACATTAAATTAAAAACTGCTGATTCTCAGTTCTGCTGTTGATGACGGCATAGTTACATTAGTGGCAGCATATGGTAATTGATAATTGGCATGTGCTGGGCTTTAGAGCTGTAATTATTCCCTTTTGAAGTATGGATATTATTCATTACAGGTCAGTTTGGGGCAGGCTCTCGAAACACAAATCACATAGTAGCCTATTTCTTTGCATTAATGGAGACATTAGAATGCAACTACCTCAGACATACAGATCATAACGACTGTGCATCTTCAGTTTTACTTGTCTGTCAGAAAGTATTCAGTGTCTATAAATCAAATGCAGGCTATCTGGAAACACAAGTCATGTCCAAGCAGTGGCACTATATGACAGAGCATCCTCCTTATTACACAGAGTTCCCTTCTGCCTGCACTAAATAGATTATTAGGAATTATCGTAACCATTACATACATTCTCTCTGTGGTAGCAATAAAGTGAACTAAGCTGTTACAGACATCTGTGCTGTTTACTAAATGTGTCTCATAGGGCGAAGGAGTGTGCCCTCAGCATGCCAGTGCTCCAGCAGGTAGAGCTGGCTTACAGACAGCAGGGCAGCAGCTCGATTCAGATCCTGTGTTGCTGCCCTGCCTGGTGCTAGGCTCATTTATTGCAGAGCTTCATGCAGCCTCCATTGCGGGCTTTAAATCATGAAAGACTCACTCACCTGATTTATGGCTTAGATATGCACCACTAGTTCCTACAGATGCAGGAGAACTGAAGCAAACATTGTGGCCTTAAATCAAAAGCACATGGCACGGTCTGAACACAAACTTGGCAGATTTGAGTTTCGCTTTGAATTTGATGTCTGTTTGAACTTGAAATCTGAAACAAACCCGAGAGGACAGAATCTCCTGCAAACTGAAACTGAAGTGATTTTCAGGAATCCCCGTGAAATGAAGGCACTGGATTTTGTGTTCTATTTCCCGCACACTGTTGGGCCATCTGTAGTACCCCAGAGAGTTTTGCTTGGGCAAAGTCCCTTGGGTTGTCTCTTAGGCTTCCTCCAATTCACAGAAAAACATCTTACTGCAGCTATGGTCCTGACAAAGGGAAGAATATCTTTAGTAATGTATAAGTGCTGAGAAATTGTCTGTTTTATAATTTCTCCTTGGTTCGGTTCCCGTCTCCAATTTCTCTGTCAAAAAGCATTATTTCAGCTGTTGCAAACCAATCATGAAGCACGCTGTACATTGATGAAACAGAAAATGTCCTACAAAACAGCTTGGACATGAAGCTTCTCCTGGTAGTAACTGATACCCTGTCAGAATTTGGTCTCACGCCATAAAGTCAGTGAAGCTGAAGCCTCTGTGCTGAGTAAGCAGGACTGGGTCACTCTATCCTGCCTTGAGCATGGTTCACTTTTGCTGTTCAGCTTTCTGCAGTTTGCTGTATCTTTACGTTTCATTTCCATCAGCCCATCCAAGGTACTGTGAGCATCTTCCCTGGTTTTCCCTGTCTCTGGCATTAATGAGCTGATCTGTGCTCTCTCCCCACTTGTTCAGGTTTCAGCAGGGTATCCAGTTATGTGGCAAGGTAGCAGAGTCCAGCTCCCAGATTCTAGAGTGCAAAGAGTAGCAGCTGGAAAACATCTTAAGTTCAGTGCTAAAGCTTTTCTTAACTTGCTTTCCAAAGTGAGTCCAGGACTGCATTGGTGCAAAGCCACATCTGATGAAATCTGCACCAGATGCGATAGCATAAGCTTTAAAAAGTGTCCTATATGAATTATAATCTGCTTCAGTAACATTTCTAGATGAATTTGAGTGATATGCATCACAGAATATTCAGCTGGACTGCAGGGAGAAATGAGAATATTTTTACAGTGCCTCATAATTAAACTGTGATTGTCGCAGCTGCCTGGCAGACTGCATTATTTCATAGAGCATCAAAGCATCATAAAATGAATGGCAAAAAAAGGGTAAAGTTTTTTGAATGAGTCATAATGGCACTGGATATCTGCCTTGTTCTGAAGGTCCAATTATAAAGGCTTGATGTTTTAATTAGTCTTCCCACCAGCTAGCCAGAGATAGCTTCAGCTACTAAGCACACCCCTGCTGACACAAGTGGCTTTGCATGGTCAGATGGTAAAGTAAAAATGTGGGAGCCAGTGCAAAATATTTATTTGCCTATTACCATGGCTAGCATG